TGTCCGTTATATTTCTTGTTATTACGAAAATACCTGAAAAACCTACCCATTTTTTGTTTTTGAAAAACAGATTTTTTGTTTTTTAATTTTTGGTTTTTCAAAAAAATAAAAATTTAAAACTTTCGATTTTTGAAAAAGCGAATTTTACTACTTGTAAATCGTCATATTAAAAAAAAAAAAGTAATAAAAAATAAGGTATATATATAAGGGTGCGGTTTGTATAGAGCATGGGCTCTAAACAATAAAATTAGAGCCTACCTTCAAATAGTGTCGAGAAATGTCATTTCAATACTGAAAATCCTTGTGATAGCCTTAAAATATTCTTTCATCTTTATTTATAAAGTTTAAAGTTTAAAAAATAGTGTAGATCGATAGATCTATGAAAACCTGAAAATCTTGAAAATTGATAGTCCAAAAGTGCGTTACAAAATATACTATTTCCAAAACTTGAAATCCACTTTTTTTTATGTCCATGCATGTTGATGTCAACATTATCAATTTTAGGATATTTGGGCATCAAAACAACCTCTTCTAGTGAAATTTGTGGGTTAGGCTCTAATTTGATGGTTTAGAGCCTCGGCTCTATATAAACGTTTGCTTATATATAGTGGGTGTAGTTTGGATAGAGCTTAGGCTCTAAGCAATCAAATTAGAGCGCACCTTCAAATAGTGTCGAGAAATGTGGTTTCAATACTGGAAATCTGGTGATAGCCTTAAAATATATTTTCATCATTATTTATAAATTTTAAATCTTAAAAAATAATGTAGATCGACAGATCTATAAAAACTTGAACATCTTGAAAATTGAGGGTCCAAAAATACATTACAAAATACACTATTTCCAAAACTTGAAATCTATTTTTTCCTCATGTCCATGCATCTTGATGTCGAGATGATCAATTTGATGATATTTGGACTTCAAAACTACCTCTTCTAGTAAAAATTTGAGGTAGGCTCTAGTTTGATAGTTTAGAGCCTCGACACTATATAAACTTTTCCTCTATATAATATGATACCCATTTTATCACTATTACTTAAATAGTGTACTGGTAAAAGCATATGCCTTTTTTCAAGAGGTTTTGATATTAGATCTTGCCCATTCCATGATGTTTTTTTTTTTTGCTTTTAATAAAATATAAAATATCAATTTTTTATTGAAAAAATTAGATTGCATATAGAGGGACTTGAACCCTTGAGGTGAAAGTGCGTATGGAGGAGTTGAACCCTTGACGTGAAAGTATAGAAGCATGCATGATAACTGAAAAGCTACGCCCATTCCATGATGGGCCTTTTTTTTTTGATTTTTAATAAAATAAAAAAATCTATTTTTTATTAAAAAATTTAAATGGTGTGTGGGGGGACTCGTACCCTTGACGTGAAAATGTAGAGGCATGCATGATAACCAAAATGCTAATTCAACCCCAAGTTTAAATATTTGGGTATACATAATATTAATATTTAAAAATTTTGATTTTTGAAAAACCGAAATTTTAAAAAGTTCGGTTTTTGAAAAACCGAAATTCAAAAAATTTCAATTTTTGAAAAACTGAAATTCAAAAAATTTTGGTTTTTGAAAATTCAAAAATTTTAAAAACTCATTTTTTCAAAAACCGAAAATGGACAGTTTCATCTTTTTTTAAAACAAGTGTTATGAAGTTGAAAAAATGGACATCTGTGTAATAACAGAAAATTTTACGTACATTCGTAATAATGAAAAGTTTAACAGATATTTACGTAATTTTTCCTTTTATTTATGGGAAAATATATAATGAGACTATTTGCCTTTGGTACAAGGTATGCATAATTAATGTTGACCATTAGATGTGAAATTGGGTGGTCACATTTATTTCATTGACCAAACTCAAATTTCAAATTTTTTGTTTCTAATTTTATGACATACCCAAGCTATAAGATTTCACATCAGATGGTTATAAGAAATTGTGATCTCCTTGTATCAAACGTAAATGGTTTCATTATATACAATCTCTTTATTTATCACTTAAAAATTATTTTTTCCATAACCGTAAAAGGTTTCATTATATACAATCAAGTGATTTGGATTTGTAAAACAAAAATGAAATTCAAATATGAAATGAGATTGTAATCGTCAGATCAGCCCAGATTGAATGTGGACTATTGGCTGACACTATGGCAGTTGGCCCATGGGCTGACAAAATCTACTCCCCTAATTAATTATAAATAGTTTTAAATTTATGTCTATCTATCTCTATATGTGGGGTCATCTATTTTTCACGATTAAACTCTTCCTACAGATTTGAAAAATCTGTCACCCACACTCACTCTCTCCTTCCATGCAGTAATTATTAATAGTCCATTTGCCAATTAGACTTCTAAAAAACTTGTCCTTATCACTTGTCCCCAAAATAGGAAAGAGGATAACCCATGCAAAGTATAGCTAATTCTTGGGAAAATTACAAAGAACACCTTAAAATGAGCTATCGATGCAACTTACCCCCGACCCAAACTTTGTTCACACGTTTTTCCCCCAAACTACATTTCCTCCCAAAAAACCCCCACCCCGAAAGTAACATGAAATAAGACTAAAGTACCCAATTTTCTTTTCACATGGCGTTCTCTCTCTTGTTTCCCATAGTAAAGACGTGCTCCGGCAGCCCCAATGTGCACTCCGACAGTACTTTGTCTGACCCATAGCTCTCTGGCATTCTGATAACTCGCTCCAGCAATGCAACTATACGTGCCGGCAGTCCGCTCTGGCAATGAAGCCTCTGGAGACACAACGCTCTGGCAATGGAGGACTATATTTTGGCAGTCCGAATGCGCTCCGACAGTCACAATGTGCACTCCGGCAATGCATTGTCTGACCCACAGTGCTCCGACATATTGAGAACTGTGCTCCAACAGTCTGAATGAGCGCTTCGGCAGTCCCAATTTGTGCTCCGGTAGTCATTTGTCTGACCAACGCTCCGACATTCTGCGAACGCGCTCCGGCAGTGAAAATATGCGCTCTAGCAATTCGCTCCGGCAATGAAGTCTTTGGAGTCACAGCACTCCGGCAATGTGGCACCGCGCTCTAACAGTGCTTCTTGACATTCCACTCTGGCAGTAGTATACTGCACTCCGGCACTACTCTACTTAGGATCCGTGAATTGATTTGGTTTGTTTGGGTAGGGCATTTCCATCCAAAAAATAAGAACTTTTTACCTTGGGGGGTTTTTGCGAGGAAAGGTTGTTTGGGGGAAAAAAATGTGAAAAAAGATTGGGGTGGGGTAAGTTGCATAGATAGTTCATTTTAAGGTGTTTTTTGTAATTTTTCCTAAATTCTTGTCACGCTAACATTGTTATAGAAACCAATTGATTTCACAATTACTCCCCATTATTTCTACAAAGAAACCAAGAGATTCACTTCATTTTACGAGAGATAGAGAAACTTAGAGACTAGATTCATTCGTTTAATAGAGAGAGAGAGTAACCAAGATTCATTCGTTTAATAGAGAGACAAAAAGTAACCAAGAGAATTAGATACGTCATTATCCATGCGCATTAAAGCATCTTGTCCACATTTGTTTCGGCCTTAATAGTAATAGCAAAAATCAAAGCCATGAAGATTTGGATTTTGAGGATTAAACCAAGACGAAATCTATCTTATACATTTGGTGTGCACTTAAATTTCAACATTATCTCATCATTGAAATAACCAAGATCTTCAAATTTTAAGAGCAATTTTACCTAAATGCCCATGAAATCATTTTTGTCCTAGCACTAGAACATTCCAAAAAGACCAACTTATCCTACTAGCCAATATGTATTATCATCAAGTAAATTTTCTACTAATTGTAGTTTGGATCTACTGATATGGTAAGGAGGGCAGGCAAAATCTTGAAAGCATAGGTTCTACAGCTTTGGAATAAGAGGGTGAATAATGAAATTACTTTCAAAGATTCTATATATATAAAATGAAGGGAAAATTACAAAAAGCCCCGACTTACCTCTAATCTAACTTTTTCTCTCACTTTTTTTTCTCAAAATATAATTTATATGCAAATATCCCCAACCAAAATAAAAAAATAAAATAAAATGCCTCAACTACCCTCCCTTACTTTTACCTTACCCACGCTTTTCTCTCCTCCATCCCACCAAAATAGGGGCTCCGGCATTGTGTAAAGTGCAGTCCAACAGCAGGACTCCAGCACTGTGTAAAATACAATCCGGCAATAGGGATCCGACACTGTGTAAAGTGCGGTCCGGCAGTAGGGATCTGGCACTATGTAAAGTGCGATCCGGCAGTAGGGCTCCGACATTGTGTAAAGTGCGGTTCGACAATTGAAAAGGGTGGTCCAACGGTTGCAAAGGGCAGTTCGGTAGTAGATGTTACCGGATTCCAAGGCTTCGGCATTATGTAAAGGGTGGTCCAGCAGTACTCAGTTTCGGTTCGGTAGGTGTCTTAGGACGGTTCGGCCCTTGTGCGCTCCACCAATGTGATAGAGTGCTACGGCAATGTGCTACTGGGGTCCAAATGTCAACGTCAAATCTTACCAAAATGATTTTTGTGTACGGGAAGGGCATTTCCGTTTAAGAAAAATGAATTTTCCCCTTGAGGGGGTATGTCCATACAAAGTTTGTTTCGGTTTTTTTTTGTAATTTTCCCTAAAATGAAGTTTTAGCCTGGGAGAAAAGTTGGCATCGTAAAGATGTTTTAATCCCGTCATTTTTTTTTTTTCTGAATAATTAGATGGCTACTGGGGGAATTAATAAAGATGTGGAGGGTGGCATCAGTTCTTCATATGTGAAAGATATAAAAGAAAAGAAAGGAAAACTAAAAAAAGTTAAATGTAGCTGTAGTAGTAGCATGATGGGAAAACTAGTCATTTTATTAGTAACTATTGCCCTATAAAACCCCCCCTAACATGACCATTTCTTTCACAGTCGCATTGTTGTTTTCCGGTGCTTGTTCATAGCTCTTGTGGTTTGTCATTGCTAGAGAAAGTTTTGTTACTTGCATTTGCTGGATAAACATGGCAATGAGAGAGCATGTCGTTATCATCGTAGGGGCTGGGCCTTCGGGCCTGGCAACTTCAGCTTGCTTGAACCAGCTCTTTATTCCAAATCTAGTCATCGAGAGGGATGACTGCTCCGCTTCTCTATGGAAGAAACGCTCCTATGATCGGCTTAATCTCCACCTCGGCAAAGAATTTTGCGAGCTACCTCATTTTCCTTTCCCACCCGACGCGCCGGCTTTCATATCAAAAAAAGATTTTATTAAATATATAGATGATTATTCTACCCGCTTGGAGGTAGAGCCTCTGTTTTCGAGGGAGGTGACTGATGCAACTTTTGATAGGGAGCTACAGAGGTGGATCGTGCATGTGACTAACACATGCACAAACAATGTTGAGTATTATACTGGTAGATTCTTGGTAGTTGCTACTGGGGAGAACAGTGATGGCGTAGTTCCTGAAATTCCTGGACTGCCTAAGTTTGAGGGGGAGGTACTACACTCTTCACGATTCAAGTCAGGGAGGGAGTACAGGGGTCAAAATGTGCTTGTGGTTGGGTGTGGGAACTCGGGCATGGAGATTGCCTTGGATCTCTCAAATCACGGTGTCAAGACTTCGATCGTCGTGAGAAACCCGGTGTGTGTATTCCATTGATTTCAATCTACTTCTCAATCCTAAATTTTGCATCAACATGAACCTGGTCTAGTTTTTTCTTTGACGAGAAACGCCCATTCATAAAGTTTTGCATGCAAGCGTTCTAATATGTAGTTTTTTTCTTGCGTTTTTTTCTAGAGATTTCTAGTATGGCCATACATATCATAAGAAGAGATAGCCATGCAAAATGCAATTGCTTGTGTATCAATTTATGTGATTGAGGCATCGTTCATGTTATGCTCAGTACGTAAGTCACGCGATTCATGTAAGTCATGCATGGTATGTATACCATAAATATTACAGATCAAGTTATCCGGGGTGTTGGGAGTTGTTGGCCGGTTTGACATCTCCAGACACAAGGGTTCAATTTGCCGGCATACGTGTTGGTCGCCCACTTGCCTGTATTTATTATGCTCCATCATGAAAATGGAGAGTAGTGGTGGTCCACATGTGTGTAGCATGTTATACAATGATATAACAAAAAGAGAAATTTCCTTCTTTGAATGGCATAGCATAAATTGAAGGACTATTTATTAAATTATCTATAAGAGATGGACAATTTAACATCTTACTCATATATTTTGGTTTAATTTTAAAGTACCCATAAAAAATACACGATTTTTAGTTAGAATAGTTGCAAATAGGTAGAATCTTAAGTTGTTCATCTCTTATGGATATTTTGAAAAATTTCATGAAATAGAATTTTCAAATGACATGCTTATAACACAACATGGCATGTGTACCAAGAAATGAATTATTATATTCTAGAAATTGGTCTAAATGTTGATGCTATAGATTTCCTTAATGAAAAGGTCAGAACAAGCCAAAAAAATGGTTTTCAGGGATTTTTTTTTTTTTTGAGTCAATGCATCGATGAATTGGGCATATATTTGACACCAGCTACATCAATATCCAAAGGAAGTATTATATAAAGAGAAATAAAACAGAGACACAAAGCCAGGACAATATCAAGTAGGACCATTTATTATCTTAGGATGCTAAAATAAAAGATTGATATGCAGCTGCCTTTTAGTCCTCCAAGCATCCTAAAGCTTAAATTAACGATAGTTGGGATGCTTGATACATATTCAAGATGTAGCAACATACAAAGGACGTTGGTTTCTGCTTGCATGTAAAGTAGGATCCCATCTTTCATTTAGATGAGTCAAGCATCACCCCCTCTTAATGTTTTTATTTCAAAGAAGAATTTTCGGTGGTCATGCTTACTCAAATAATCAATTGGGGAAAAAGCCTCAAAAAACTTGGAGATATACAAGTGGCTCAAATCAAAATCTCTTCCAGACTAAGATGTAGTGGAGCATCTTTATTTCTTTTTTTTTTTTGTTTTGTTTTGTTTTGTTTTTCTTTTTTCAGAATGATCACAATCATTTCAAAGAAGAAATGCAAAATTGTGAGGTAAATCGTCACTACTACGTGCTTGGCAGGAGGACCAAATGTACAACTTAGTCTTGCAAGACCACTTGTCTTTCGCCCTTTCCAAATGTCATAGAAATTTTAAGTATTTTGGACCTGTACAAAATCCAAGGGCTGTTCCGAAGAATGAGGCAAGATTGTTGTCTTTGAAAGTTTTGAAATGATGAGCGAATGATTTCTAATTTTGATAATGTTGTTGGTCTTATTTCTTAGGGCTTAGCCCTTTGGGGACATTTTACTTGGAGAAGTCTTTCGTGAGTCAGCAGGTGCAAGAGCCCGCTAATAGCGTCCATCTTTAAGACGGATGTCGTTAAAAAATCATTGGGTTTATACCCGTGCAGAAATTTTGTCAAAAAAATTACATTTTAAACATTGAAAAATTTTACTTTGGTTTTTTATTTTGATGTTCATTTTAACCTAGATCATAAATCCATAAAATCTTATATTAAAACTCCAGTGTTAAGATGGTCAAAAATTCCACAGGGAAACAGATATTCATTCTTGATCAAAGACTCCATTAGTCATTTTATCCAAATAATCAATCTCATAGATAATGAGTATGGCCTTAAATATATATTTTCATACCCTTTTCTTATGTTGTCGCGTGGTATTTAGATAAATGTGGGCACTTATTTCATAAATGTTTCATGTATGTTATGGTGGTGCAGATCCATGTGATGAACAAGGAATTGATTCACATGGGAATGCGTTTGTTGAGGTACTTTCCAATGGAGTTGGTGGATAGGCTCATGGTTTCTTGCAGCAAGCGGTTGTATGGAGATACGAGTAAGTTTGGCATACTACGACCAGAGGAAGGCCCATTTCTTATTAAGAACAAGACCGGAAGAAGCCCCATGATTGATCAAGGAACAATTAAGAAAATAAAATCCGGGGATATAAAGGTTTTTCTCTCTCTCATGTAATTTAAAGTTAGCATACGAATAATGAGAATGGTCTGGGGCATTGGTGGTAGCATCGTTATGTCTTATAATGGAATGTTAGACTTTATTCTCACCAAAGGGTAGGGGCTCAAATCCCCAGTAACTTACCATTTTTTTAGCATAGGAATCAGCCTGAATTGGTGCCTTACTAATTAAGAATATATTTCAATGTGCTTTTGTTTTAAATTATTAAAAAGCAAGATTTCTATACTTCCCTTACAACATAAAACTTATATACTTTCCTTTATCCAACCGTCCATTCTGAATGGAGGGCTAAGATTGCTCCAATCACAATGTCATCATGTCTCTACAATATTTTATTTTTAATTTTTTCTAGAAAATATTTTGACACCAATTTTTGGGCATCCAATCCTCTATTAAACTCGCACTTGTAGGAAATATGAAAAAAAAATTATCAATAAAATAAAATCACCAAAACACCTTTGAAAGTTTCTAGGGGTATTTTGGTCATTATATTAAATTTTTAATATTTTTGTAGCTGTGCCCCAATGAGAAGATGGCATTTACCAACTTTCATATTCATACAAATTGTATAAAAAAATTAAAAATAAAATACTCTGAGGCATCGAGTCTAAGATCAAACGGTGAATGGTTCACTTGATCAAAATTGGACGGCTGGATGGTAGGAGAAGCATAAATCTTCTATGTTGTGGAGGAAGTATAGAAATCTTTCCCATTATTAAATATGTGCATTATCTCTCTCTCATAAAGTTAACATATGAATTGGTAGCCCTATTCCATCTTCCTCTCGATTTTGGCATATGGTTTTATTGTCCGCCTTTTAATATCTCTCTCTCAAACAGGTCGTGACCACCCTTGCATGCATAAAAGGGAACGAAGTGGAGTTCTCTAATAATGAGAAGCATGTCTTCGATGCCGTAATACTGGCAACCGGCTATAAGAGTACGATAAAGGCATGGCTTAAGGTTAATCTCATTCAACCGTACTTCAACAAATAGTTTCTTAACTAATGTTTGTTCTAGCTGTCTTCCTCATCATCATTAAAGTTTTTTCTCAATTAATTCTTATTTCATTAAAAACTCTGTGCCTGAATTTAGATCCTTTCCAACAATTGATTAAAGATATATCAATTACTTGCTTAGACTTGTATTTGAGGATTTTAATTGGAAATTATTTTATTTTACAAGGATGATGATGGATTTTTCATTGAAGATGGCATGCCTAGGGCCAAATATCCAAACCATTGGAGAGGACCCAATGGTCTCTACTGCGTTGGACTCTCAAGAAGAGGGCTATTTGGAGTATCTGAAGATGCTGTGAACATATCAAATGACATATATTCGCTCTTCAAAGATGGTCTTAAGCTTGAAAAATGATTTGACATTAAGATCAAGCACAATATTGACATGATTCTCTTTTGCATTATGGGTATAGTTGTCTGTGGTTTTTCTGGTATTGCATATGTATGCTTATATACTACTGGGAATGTATCTCCAATATTTGATTTCCATGTGGTTACCTATTTCATGGAAGTGCTAATTTAGATGGGAGATTATTATTTCATTTCTCTAGTATTTGAAGAAGCTTTTAATGGAATTTTGATAAAATATCGCGTTATGAGGTGAGGTTTTATTTCAAGAGAGAGATGGGGAGGGGGGGGGGCACAGCTTTCATGAGACATCAAATAGAGCAATGGAGAGTAGTAAGGCCTCTAACTGGGGCAGGCCGTGCCCTTAGACCGGGTTCAAGTAACCTAATGAGGTTTGCGAACTCGCTTGGGCCTAGCCGTAACGTAAATGTTTTGGCCGGGCCTACACTCAAGGCCAAGCCTAAGCCAACCCGAACGTCGTCTGTGGCCAATCACATGTATGCGAGTTGTCAAACGACTTGTGGAAGATCCAGTTTCGGGCTAAGATCGGGCAACTTTATAACACTTTGGATTAGCCCTAGTACGAATGACTTGACAACAACTACCTCGCCAAGCCATTTATGCTGGGGCCATGAAGATCATGGCAAGTAATACATGGCCCTAAAGCAAGCATAAACGCCTTCAAATTTACTTCTCTCGAAGGCTTAACCTGTGAGACCAGTGTCAACCTCTGTCTTGTCTCCACAGTAGCTCCCCCACTCTCTCTCACACATATCTATGCAGCTTAGTGTTCTCTTTCCTCCATACATCACTATCTCCTCTCCTCTCCTCACTCTCTAGCTACATTCCTCTTTACCTGCCTCCAACACACCTCCTTTAATCTCTAGCTACACTCCTCTGTCTTTGTCTCCAAACTTTGCACCCTGAACCACGTTTCTCCCATCTCTGCCTCCAACTCTCTGTCTGTTATGATAATTTGACATGTTCTTTTCCGTTGACTCCAAAGTCCAATCAATCTCTCTCTTAGCATGGCTCCCGTGCTCCTTATAGCCAATCAAAATTTATCTCTTTCTCTCTCTACCCATATATGGCCCACCCCCTCCCTCCCTCCCTCATCCCGTCCATTTTTGTACACCCCACCCCATCTTTTATTCTGCGCATCTGTTAGTTATGTTGGTGCTGCATAGTGATATTTGCGTAAGAGAGATTAATATGGATAAAGGGAGCACATTTTAAGTAAAGTGGAATATATTAAATTAGTAAAAGTTAAATACAAATCCCATTTTACTTTCTTTATTTAAAGATAGTCTTATATATTTCATATTTACCAATCAATTCATATTTTTTAGAACGTAAAGTGTTTTTCAATATAGTTGATTAAGTTCAAATTTGGTTTGTTCATAGTTCTCCATATTATATGCCCATAAAAATATTTAAAAATAATTTAAAGAAAATAAAATTGACAAACTAACCACGAATAGTATAGGAGTAGGTTTGTCATGTTATTTAATTTGAATTTATTTTCAAATATTCTTTTATAGGTTATTATGATTAGAACTATGGAAATACCAAATTTGATTTGAATCTGATTGTTAGAAATAAGAAAAAAATCCAAAATACAGTTTGTGCTCTAAAAAACAAAAGGAGAATTTATTGTGAAATACGAGATATATGGGACTATTTTTATCCATAATGGATAAAATGAACTTTTTGTTGATCTTTGAAGAAAATGGACTTCACTAGATCCAGAATCCTTGTTCTACGATTCCTTTTCTTCGTTTCCTTTTTTTCATTTGCAATTTCTTTCCTCTACACCTTCGCTGCTCCTTCTCACCTCTTTGTCCTCCCTTCTCCTGCTCCCCAATCTCAGAATCGACGATCCCTCTGTTGTTGCAAAGGCCACGAAAAAAGAGGGGGCCTAGAGGGCCAAAACTCCAACCCACAGCTCCAAGCCAGACGCCACGGAGTTCTAAAATTTTAGAAAAAGAAATAAATTTTGTTTTCAAAAACCAAAAAAGAGTAGTTTTGTCTTTTTTAAAAAGATTATTATAAGTTCAGTAAACGGACATGTAGTTTTAGATATTTTCATAATAACAAAAAATAAAACAAATGTTTATATAATTTATAATTTCATTCACTATGTTATAAGGAATAAATAATTATTAATGAAACTGAACTTTTATTACATCCATATTAGACCCTCGGGATCTATTGGATAGAAGTGTATATACCATGAGTTTGAAAATTTTCTCTAGTAAAGTGATCAAGAGTCTTGGATGGGATTTGAAACAAATCAATCAAATTATGAACATGTTCCATTTTTCTCAAGATTTTGCTATTGTGGTACACTGCAGAAAAATATGATGTTCGTCCCCAATAACATCTTTGGCACAAAGCCGACAAGTGTGCTCTTCTATTAATAAATGTTAATAATTAGTAATTCTTTTTTGTATGATTCTATGGAATTTGAGTCGTTTGTCTTAACATGCTTGCTTTATTGAGGAATTTATATTATCAATTAATTGGCTTTTACTATAAAATTAGGGGTACGCATGACTCTCGCCTAAAAACAGTAACGATGATTGGATAGTGCATCCTAATACTAGTAATAATATTAACATATTGATAATGGTATGGGGCCTTGGCGGTAGTATTGTCGAGCCCCATGATGAGGTCTCTGATTTCAATCTCTCCAAAAGGTGTTGGCCCAAATCCCCATTGATTTATCACTTTATTTGTCCAAAAAAAAGAAAAAAGATTATCATATTGATAATATTCTATTTCATAAAATTACTAAACAATACAAAATAACTTGCTAAACATACTTTTTATAAAATAATAACATATAACTGCAAACATGTGGTTTACAGCAAATGTGCTCATCAAACCTATCTCAAATAGAGTTCCATAGATATGCGACTTTGCATTGACAGATAGGTATTGAGTGATTTACACCATTGATAACTTTGTTCCTTGTGCTGATTTTGAAAGAAAATTAGAGAAAGCTATTCGAAGAACCAATGGATATTGACTACAAAATGGGTCCAAAACTCATGGGAATACAATAAAAAACTTTAGGAGGATTCTGGAAGCAGCTCTACATTACATGGGGCAGCAATATATCTCCAGCTTTACGCAGGGCAATGTTTGTTTCACTTAGTTCTGTTGGGTTGTCTTTCATATTTTACTTAGTTAATTTGTTGGTGTTTTGAGTGATTTTCGGATCAATGGAAAGTTCTTAGAACATCTAATATGGCGGTAAGTGAGTGAGTGTAATTTGTGTATGTTTTGAAGGAGTTTTGATCTTAGGTATGGGGAGCTATTTTCCATGGCTTTAGAGGTAAGGGCTGGTGTATGGTTTTTTCAGTGAGAACTAAATGATTCTATTCCTCTATTATAGCTTTTTGTTCTAAGATCTTGATGCGAAGTGTGGAATTGAATTGATTTTTACTGCCTCTGCTCCTAAACCAGCAAAACTGTGTAGTAATAGAATGCAATTAAGGAAATACATTAAAAGGAAACCAATGGCAGAAAGAAACTTGATTCTTAGCTAAGATGGCCCAAAGTTAAATATATAAAATCGGAATCTCTGGAGCTCGTAGATTCACTATACAATGAAAATACAAAAGGAGCAAGTAAAATTGCATATTGGTATCCTTTTTCACCTGAAGACGAGGTAGTAAAATTGCAAATTGCATATAAAATTGCATGTTGATTACACAAGTGGTAGTTTTTTTGGAAATTTACAAATAAGTCCTATTTCGCTGTACATTTTATTTTACACAATTGGACCCAAACACTCTTCGGGTCCGTATTCAAGTCTGATTTGGCCTCGTTTGGGTCTGGGTCTGGGTCCTGATCCAGTAATGCTTTTTGGCTCTCAATATATGAAATATATTTAAATATAATTAAATACATAGATATTTCATTTTTTGCATCGGATCCGATCCGATCCAAGTCTAGGTTTGGGTCACATAATATATTTTCACTGGGTCCGAGTTCGACCTGATCCGACCCAACCTGTTACCACCCCTGTCAGTATCGTAGTAGCTCTGGGCATCTCTCTCTCTAACAAACAAAACCTCCCCCTAGGAGATTCCGTTGCCACCCCTATCAGTATCACAGTAGCTCGCTGTCATGAAAGCCGGGCATCTCTCTCTCTTCAAAATAAAACATCCCCATATAGCACGAGATTTTTATTGAAATTCCATCGAAAGCTTATTCAAATTTTGGAGAAATGAAATGATAATCTCCCATCCAAATATGCATGTCGAAGTAACCACATAAGAAATCAATATTTAAAGAATGAAATAAAGCAATAGAGAAAATTTGGAGATGAAATTCCTAGTGATGTATCCTACAGAGATAATGTCTAAACAAAAGCACAAACAAACATACCCATGATATAAAAAAATACATATATATAATATGACTATTTGCTTTTGATACAAAAAAGTCTCAATTATTATTGGCGGTTAGATGTGAACTTTTGGCAGTGTCTAACCATATATATATATAATCCAAACAACCATAACCATAATATAAACAACATTCGAGCCCATTTGGCGCTTAATCTCAATATCGAAGCCTTTTTTCACTCGAGTCCAATTTTGAAGAAGGAATATATGTCATTTGCTATATTCTTAGTATCTTTTGACAGTCCAAAGAGTCCCCTCCTTGAGAATCTAGAGGTTAGAAACCATTTGGCCCTCTCCAATGGTTTGAGCATTTAGGTCTTGGCATGCCATCTTCACTAAAAAATCCATCTTCATCCATGCAAAATATGCAAATTTTTAGTTTTAAGTCCTCAAATACAGTTCCAAGCAAATATTCTAGAGATACAATATTCCAAAAAATGCTAGTCATTTTTCAACCACTTGATTATGATATGAAGTCATGCATTGATTCTTCATCAATTGTTGACAACTTATTAGAATCTAAATTCATGCATTGATTTTTTAATCAAATGAAAGGAGCCCAGCTAGATCATACATTAGTTAAGAAACT